TACGTTCTTTGGTTAAGCAACTGTGTTATTAGTCCTCTAAGCAACTGTGTTAGTACCTAATATGTATTAAAGTCAACCGTATCGACCATAAAAACGTGATATCTTAAATGTAAATAAAAGTAATTAAAGACTGGATATGTCGTATGGTTATGTCCTCTCTCTCATATACGCGATGAGTCTGCCTGGTACTCCTTTTGTCGTCGTACTTCTTTCATTTTATTTTTTGGGTCCGTAATGCGCTTTGTTGACGTGATGTATATTTGCATACACCCTTGAATCGTCGGATGCCTTTTCATATGTAACTGCATTGTCCGTTTAATGATATGATCGTAATGTACTACATGTAGACCGTCTTACAGATTATCTTATGTAAAGACAAAAAGGTTGCTCGTAATTGTTTACCATCTGCTCAAATGCCGTGAACTAGCCATATGCCACAAAAAATTGTACCAAGACAATGAGGTTCGCACATTCGGCTTATGGAGGTGAGTGAACCCCCAGTAGATGAACATAGTCCATAGTTTTTGTTGATACTTGGTTGATACAAAAACTGATTTAAATAAATCGAATGAAGCATTGATACCCGTGCACGTTTCCTCGCCACTATTATTCTGAATCAATATCTCATTTTAAACATGTGGCAGACAGCACATGAACCTTGAATTTAAACATTTTTGTTTTGAATTATATTATTACGTGTTAGTTAGATTAGTTAATATAAAAATTATACTTTATTTTGATTGTAAATTTGTTCATTTTATTAAGTATATACTATTAAACTTAATATGCTTTTATTTGCACATCATCAAATATTTATACTGCAAATAAAACTGGAGATGTTTCTAGTTACACTATTTTGCTATAATAATATTGAATTATGTATCCATCAACGAGCTGCGCATATATATAAGTTTAAAAGAAAAAAAAAAAACAATTTATAGGGATTAACCGTCGATATGTATCATGAATATAAATGAGTCGAGACAAAAACGAGATGTGTCTGGGGAGAAATAATAAGAGGCGTTCGACAGCAATCGTCTAGCAACCAACGTCCTTGAGTGCAGAAATCCTTGATGAGTACAATCAACCGCCACCGGATAGCCGCCTACTCAGGGCTGCCAATTAAAGTTTTAACCTTTAATCGACTTTACGTACACTTGCTATAAGCGTAGATCATTAACGCAACAATACCTCTTTATATCTTGTCAATAAAAGCAGGTGCCTTTACAATCTAGAAAGATAATAAAGCTTCTGAATCTCAATAACTTTTACAGTACGTCAATTATTCAATTACCCCTAATTTTTTAGATAATCTCATAATAAGCGGAATCAACCCTGTGTTAATAATGTGTAGGTTGCTAGCTTCTGAAGACAAAAAGCTAAAACTGAAAATAACTATTAACGGCGTGGTTTGCGATACCCGTTTCGATGCGAACTGTCCATATATGTAAACTGGTGATCATGTCCATTACGATAAGATTACTTTATCTTGCACTTTTTACAGCCGAATCTCAAAACATTAGACACGCGAATTTTAATATTTCAATTCCTCGCGGTTACAATAATAATATGATTATAACATTAGATTTAATGCAGATATTGTAACAATTATTCTAGAACAATCCTGTGAACGAGTGTGAACTGTGGAGTGAATAAATAAATTATACAGCGAAGATTTCCGGCAGCCAGCAATTATCTAACCGCACCATTATATTATCAAAAACGGCTTCGTAAATATGTCACGCCTTACTTCAACTGAAATTGAATTTAATTTGAGACACGACCTGTCAAGTTATCGAATATAAATTCGCTCAATAATCGTTACCAATTACGTGAGTGTACGGCCTCGCGGCGTAATATGGACATTTGCAGAAATATCGCAACCGCCAATAGGTGCGTAGGATTTCTGATCTTTTTGTAGTTGTAGGTAAGAGGGAGAATATATTGTGTATATGGATCTTGATTGATCTTTTCGACGTGAGTTTGAGATGAAGTGATTGGTTACTAGCATTATCCTCGCCGGCACCGCAATTGTTGACTTATTATGCAATGATCCTAGTAAATAAAGTTGCTTTTATATGACTTTATAGTATAATGAGATATCTAATTAATTCATGTATTGGTTCAGATGCTAACGTATTTACATATAAGTATCAATTTCCCAGGTACAATATAGGCTATTAATAAAAAAAATTTTAAAAGAGAATCGCGCACTTGTTTATGCAGAAGTAGAAAGCTAATAAGGAACATATACGTATTTAACACAATGATATAGGTATTAGTTACTGTTAATGTATGTGAAGATCATTAGTGCTCGCACGGCGAGATTCGATCACAGTATCGCTAGCGTGCTCAACAATGCGCGCACGCAAATATCACCGATCGGCCTTTCTCTTGCCCTTCCGCGCTATTTGATCTCTACGCCCGCGCCGACGCTCGATTGTCTGTCGCAGTCAAGTTCACGGCCTTCCTCGACCGCTCAGCGTTTGATTCACTATAGACTCATCTGATATCACTTATATAATAATTTGACTTTGATCACAACTTATGGCTCTATCTAATTAATATATTTGTAAAATTTTAGAGTAACAAATATTTTTTATCGTAAATCATAATGCTTGTCACATACTCCATTTAAAATTTTCATAATTGTAACGATAATATCAATTTATCTACACACAATTTACAAGTATGTACAATGTATATACGTACATATGTACATACGTACATATGTACATATGTACACAACAAATATTAAGTACAAACCGCGAGAGTTAATTTCGAAACATCGAAGCGACGTGGTTGGTATCTCTATAAAAAGTATAATCAGCTATTGTTATCAAAATATCTATAAAGATCTCGCGATCTTATACCTTTTGATTGTTCTATTACCAGTAGTATTATTCTTGATATTTGGCTCGGGGTCAATGACTCGTACAATCAACTTATTGCTTTTGCTTTGTGACAAATACCTATGTATTTAAAATAAATAAAAGTTATAATTTGAATTTTTCGTAGATCTCTTGTGTTAGTAAATAAATAAGTGCTTAATCAGTTAAAGGAGTATCTCCTGATTAAATTACTCATTGTCTACGATGCGATGTCGACTTTCGTAGTAAAAAAATTAAATAATGGAGTTGAATGTCCAATCGGTTTATCATAGTGTAAAAAGTTGTTTTCGCCAAGAGGCGCCTTTCATATTAAAGCCCGGTCATCAAGTATTTTAGTACCTATTATGTTACATTTTTTATTCCAACTTGTTATAGAATAATATTATCGAAAGCGGATTTGATTTTTATATGCTAATTGTATTTTTGTAAATGTATTTAATGTCGATTTATCATCTAGAGGCAGGATATGAGTTACACATTTGATGCTTAATTTTTTTCATATAGTTTCTTTCATATAATTGTTTAACAATACCTAAACAAAAACCGTTTGAAAGCTATTCGATAAACGTCTTGTGTTTGTTTGACTTGCTGTCAGATATAAATCTCCGTAGATCACGAGGTCGTTAATGTGATATTCGTGTCGGCGCCGTCTGAGTTAGGTACAGGCACCGTTACTCTATTGTAGATTCAAATGAGCAACGTTTTCATACAGATTTTATATTTGTTTGCGCAATAAATGCTTCATTTAGTTACAGAATAAATGCCACGTGGATATAATATTCTTCACGTTATAAGACGTGTTTGCATAACACTTAAAGATTTCAAGAATGTGCTTACGTTTTATTTAATACAAAAAGGTCATGAGTGTTATTTTATGTTCGATCAATTATTTGTTAAACGACATATTTACATATTAAAACAATCCTATGTTAAATATCTAACTGTATATTAAATATAATTCTCATAATTTTTGCTTAGGCAGAGAGGTAGGTATTAAAAATGGCCGTCGTCACTCGTAAGTTCATTGGGATATTTCGATGATTTTTTTTACAATTTTATGTAGAATTACCCCCGTGTTGGTAACCTAGGGTAGTTCAGGGTGTTTTGATATGCGAGCCGTGATAAGGCCGGCCACACGACACATCAACCCCTTGCACTGCGAGGGCTGCTTGCCCTTCCGCCTTATTGATTAGCGCCATACATCTATGTAATGCTCAACAGCTTTTCACTAACGTGTCATTACCCCACGGACACTATTACTTTTTGTTTCAGTTAATAATCATCGGTTTTAAATATTAATATATCCTAATAATTATTCAATAAATAATTAGTATTGAGCTTACTACATATGGTATCAGCTTCTGTGATAGGTGAGAGTTCCTTGATATACTTTAAACATTGTTATATTTTAATTAAATAATTAAGTGCCACAAAGTCGTCAAAGATAAGCCACGTTAGACAAGTCAAATAATAGAAGCGTGCTGTAAATCCCTTGCTTTCATTGTGTTATCGAAAGTCGTGAGTTGTACATTCATTCTTGAAAGGCTAACTGAGAAAGGAAGAACAACTTTGCGTTCCGAGCACTATCATTCTATATGTTTATTGGCACATATGCGACTACTTTCCACTAATCGTGCACGACTGGCGTGAATACGATGTGAAACACCAATAATTTCGGTCATATAGGATAAAGTAATATGTAAATAGCACAAACTTTAACTGATATACAGGAAATATGTACGGTCGTTCGGTTTTATACAGTGTTTGTATGGGCTATTACGAATGTAAAGGTGCAATATTGCGGCCGGTGTACTCTTGCGAAACTACTGTCAGTACTAGTTACGCTAAATCAATCTCGTCGAACTAATGGCACCTCTCGCTCAACGTGATTATTGTTGTTTTACTTGGCGATTGCTTTAGATATATTAGCCAATCTCATGTTTTATGCTTTACACAAATAATATTCTTTTATCGAAAGTAAATATGTATTTATGAACGTCGTATTTTTCAGTACCTACCAAATATTGAATATAAAAATATCATTAATTTTAAAATATTATGAATTTAGTGTTTATATATTTTATTAATTGCAATTTTATCATTTTATAGTTTGCTTCTTCTGCGGCGGATAATGGCGTGTGTGGGAGCAGCACGTCATCATCAACGTCTTCATCATCTTCCTCGTCATCTTCATCATCGTCGTCGTCGTCCGATTCAGACACGGCAGAAGCCGCTGGCGGTTCCACACACACATCTCCTGATGACTCTAGTGCTGCACTCGCTGCCGCTTGTCAATTGCAGGTATGTCTAATCTCTTTAATAACTGCTATGTAATAATACCAGTTCGCGAGCTGTAAATTATTTTATATTTTATTACTGTACATGATCAATATGTATATAAAAAATAAAATGAAGATATAAACCCTTTAAAAGCAGTTCACGTTAGAAATAGACAATGTACTGTCTATTTCGTAACTACTTTAACATTTTAGAATTTATTATATTTTATGTTCACTGGTTTATTACTTATGTGATGTAGAAACATCTACGCAAATGCCAATAAAATTTTCAAGCTTTAAATCACGTTGTTACCGTCTAACTACACTGAACTGGGTCATTAATTATATATTTATTGGTCTCCCAAGTGAACTAGTCCAGTTATAGAAAACAACGTGATTAAGTAACCCGAAATATACTCCACAGGTCATCGACGATGCAGACCTCGCGGAACTATTTCCAGAACAAACATCGAGCGCGCCGGCGCAACAGCCCAATTTCTCGACCTTCCCAGTTAACGCTACGCCAGATGACGACAAATCTATTGCAGATAATGGTAAGCCTAGTTGAATGTCTCGTTGTGTAAATACAATTTAAATAAGATAAGATTTAATGTTATTTTTTTATAGGCGACGGGTCAAGTAGTGAGATGGAGTTAACACCCCAACTTGTAACAGCTGCGATACAAAGAGCAACACAAGACTCCTCTGGATCTGAAAATGAATGTTCTAACTCTACTACCGTTCATCAAAGCACATCCCATTACTCGTCAAGATTGCTGCAAGAATTTGTAGCGCGAACTCAACAGTTGAGTAGCACAGTGCCCCTTAACACCATTTACCCACCATCTAATCCATCTATAGCTTGTGGCATCCCATCGAATTCAATTGATGGAGTGGGCACTATAAGTGACTGTGTGCTCGGACAAATAAATAATTTATCTGAAATCCCACCTATTGCGTCAGGGTTTTTGAATAACACTCAGCATTTAAGTCCGCAGCAAACGGAAGAGTTATCTCAAATAAATAAAGATCTTGAAGAAATAACTTCTGTAACTGAATCTGTGGGGTTAACTATACCTAACCCGCCCAGTTTAGAGGATTGTGTCGATAATAACGACTTCATGCATTTAGACATAACATCGGGTGGTTCAGAGCTAGGAAGCGCTAGTGATCTACTAAAGAGTTCACCTATTACAGTAGCTGGTGCTGATGCTAGCTCGGCGAACCAAATAGAATGTCAAAAGTTAGATACAATGAGTACGAATTCAGTAGAATCTCAAGAAGACGTTAAAAACGTGGTTGTTGAATCTAGAAGAAAAAGGGGCCGACCTCGTAAAGTGAGAAAAGATGAATATGACACCAAAGGTGCTGAATCTCAAAAACAAGCTAAGTCTCGAGCTAATGTAATTAACGACTTTCATAACAACAATGACCCGCCTAACGTTTCGCCGGACTCGGGTATTTTATCTAATCATAATTCACCAACACATTCTCCTTTAGGGCGGCATGAAGTAGAAGATAGTCATAGCAGACACAGTAGAAAGTCCATTCATAAAGAAAATACCATCGGTGAAAGAAAAAGCGCACGCTCTAAATCTAAAACTAGAAGTAGAGCACATAATAAATCTGATTCAAGTGACTGTGATTTTCAAAAGAAACGAATAGAAAATGAAATTAAACAAATAAAAACAGAAGCACCCTCTCCGATTCCACTGAAACAAGAACAAAATAAATTTGACAAGACCAAGAAAAATGATCATAAATTGGACATTGCTGCATTAGATAGAATGCTTTACGCTACAGATAGAGTATTATACCCACCCAGGAAAAAAGTAGGCAGAAAACCTCAAAATAAAACTAAAACCACAAAGACCACTTCTAAAACATTGAGGGATAAGAATCAATATGATTCAGCAGATAGTGATGATGATTCGCTACCATCGAATAGATCCGTTTTATCTGGAGTTTACGCAAAAAGAAAGGAGGTGAACAGTAAACTTGCTACCTTACCAAAAAACAACAAGAATACTAAATCAATGAATAATTCTTGGAGAGATCATCAAAGCGAAAACGAGGCGGCTGCAGAAGACCCGCTAGATCCGACTTGGAAGCAAATCGACCTAAATCCGAAATACAAAGATATTCTCTCAGGCTACAAAAGTGATCACGAATTCAAGCCGTACAAAAGTTGCAGTAGATTAATAGAATCAGGCTATAAGAGCGATTATGGTTGTAGGTCGGGCTACAAAAGTGACTGCTATCGATCTGGATATAAAAGTGACCATAAATCTGGCTATAAAAGTGACAAATCTGGATACAAGACCGATTACAGTGTTAGAAGTATGCGTAGACGAATGAGAAAACTAAAGAAAACGCGATCAGTTAGAAATAGATCGTACTATAAGAATCAAAAACATTTCGTCTCTGATCAAGAAATTTTACTCCTTTCAAATAAAACCTTCAGCAGTCTAACCTTGGGCCACAGCTCCAGCGACTCGGAATGCGAGACTTATTTACGTAAACCTAATGCTAGTCCGAAATATGTTAGTGTTTGCACAAAATATCCCTTACCATCGAAATACAATTATGGATTTACGAAAAATAATCAGAAGCACATTTTGCGGCTAAATTCGTCAGATCCTTTTGCCCCCGGTCCAGTGTTTAGTGGCTTGCAGAGGCCAGTGACAACTTATAATATTTTTAAAGTGAGTCACAACAATAACAACACGCTGTTAAAATCTCCTTCAAAAACTAGTTACATTGGTAATCCCCTACCGTCACTTAAACCGCTATTTACTCACAAATTTGGCGTGTCGCCAATATGCACAGCTACTAAATTGTCTGGCTCAAAAAAAGATGATATTTTAAAACATTTCTCAAGGACATTTTCGCCAAAGAATCGCAAACAAGTTAAAAAGGATTCTCCTCCAGCAAAGAAAGAAAATACAACAAAACCACTACCCAGTTGTTTTGAAAAGGCAAAAAATACTTATATTCCCAATAAGTCTTTATCGAGAAATGTCTTTTTGAATTTCAAGAAACCCCATATTAAGCCGTCATATCATATTAAAAAGCATAGAAGAACAGTTGTACTGGCACCGCCTAAAATAAACTTAAAACCTACAGAGAGGCCCTCTCGAATTACCATCAAAACTGAAAGCAAACATAGGCATAGAAGTAGAAGGAGACATCGTTCAAGATCAGTTTCTAGGTGTAGGGAGACCTTTGCAAATCGAAATTCTGTAGATTCAGTCGACCAAAAGTTTACACAAGACATGGACAGTCTCATATCGAACTTTATTAAATTATGTCAAATTGCACCGAAATTTATTACAAATACATCTCCTATTCCACAAAAACCTATAGAAAAAGAAAAAACGCCAGTAGATCCAGTACCTCCAAAAGTGATCAAAAGAGCATCTAAGAAGAGAAAAACTTCAGATAATCAAGAAATAGCTACACCCACTTCGAAGCGGAGACACAAAAAGCAATTGACTGAATCTCAAAACAAAGGCGGTAAAGACACAAATGAACATAAATTACCGTTAAAAAAGAGACATTACCACATAAATTCTTCTACAAGCAACTCTTTAAGCTTGAGCTTAGTCTCGGCGGAATTTGATGAGAATTCTAAAACCGATGCTAACCCTGATAAGTTTTTGTGCACTGAAACTGATTGTATGGGTGATGTGCACAAAGATATCGCAGAGGAATCTTCTAAGCACAAATCCCTTAATGAAAAAGGAAAGAAAGGTAATGACAGTTCGAAACATGCAGCTTCCAATATACAAGAAAACAAAGGTGAAACGTCTCCAAAGGCATTGAAAAACACCGTGAATACTTTAGAAACGACACCAACTAAACATGACGAATTTAATAAATCTGCAGATAATCAATCATCATTTACAAATAACATTGATGATGATCTGTCTATTGAAAAACCCACTGCAGAACAATCGGAACTATCTAAGAAAATCTATGAAACCTCCGAAAAACTTAAAGCTGTGCATAAAATGGTTAATGATTTAGAAAAAAGTTTACCAAAATCAAAAGAGGGTGATGGAAAATCAGAATCATCTAAGATTGAGCCGGGCAGAACTTCTTCACCTAGATCCGAAAGAAAAGTGTCGCCTATTAGGAATTCAGCTCCTATTGCGACACCAAAGAAGCGTCACAGATTAGAAGCAGACAAAGTTATATCCCATTCAAGCTTAGATCAAGTTGTGCAGTCGCTTTCCAAAAAATTATCTGAAGATAAAACAGGAAATAACAGTGTTTCCAAGGATATTAATCAAAATACATCAAAGGAAGAAAGTAAAGAGTGCGATAAGTCCCTAACAACGTCAACAGAACAGACAAATCTTTCTAACAGCACATCTGTTGACCCTCTTAAAAGTATGTCAGCGCGTTCTTTATATAAAAGTTCTATTCCACCAGCTCAGAAATCTGAAATAATGACCCGAAAGAAGAATAGACTCGAGGGTCTCACAAGTAATTTAGTATCTAAAATAAACCCTAGTGCAGCTACGAAAGTCTTAGATACACTTTTAAACAACAATATTCGAAAATCGATTGAATCTCGAATTTTAGAAAAGGAAAAGAATATTAGTGATAGTGGAAGTAAAACATCGGATGAAAGACATAAGGGTAAGGAATCTCTACAAGTAAACACAAGAGCAAGCGTCATCAAGTCACCGGTATCTAAGGGAAAAGTTATAGAAACTAAAAAGCCAAAAGCAACTGAAACAATAATAGAGCAATGTGTTGTAGTAAATGTCGACAAACCAACAGGCATTTTTGAGCCTTCTGTGGATTTGGAAGATCAAATTCCTAAGTCATCTATTTGCGTAAATAATATTTTAGCCGAGAGCAAAGGAAAAAATAAAACGAAAGGTAGTGACAGTAAAAATTCAAATGAACTATTAGTGCCCATAGACACAGAGTCTGAAATACCTCTTGCATTAATATCTGAAACACCTGATCCCATAATCAGACCTAAACGAGGTGAATCAATAGCTTCCGTTCTATCAGATAAAATTCTAGAAACAGCCGGTGGCCATAACTTACGACAAACTAAAAGAAATTTAGTCAATGATAGTGATGATTCTAATGAGAAGAAAAAGAAGAAAACATCGAATAATATAATAAGAGAGAGCAAATTAGTACTTCCCACTAAAGTGCTTATACCTAAAATATCATCAGAAAAACTATCAACATTAGAGACTATTAAAAAACAGGGTCCATGTGTGAAGAATTCAGAAGCTAACGATTCAAGTGACAATAAGGTTGTTGATGCGTCTAAGAAAAGAACTAGACGAAGGAAAGCTATAAATAGAACAGGTTTCCCCAGTATTAAAAAGAAGAAGAAGAAAGTAGAACCTTCCAATACTTTGAACAATACAGCTTCCGATAATTTCACATCAGAGGATACCGATCATTCTGCATTTGAAAGAGTACCTAAAGATGGCGAAGCTATGAGTAGTTTCTTGGAGCGAACAACCAATAAAAAACCAGACCTCAAAGTTGTTGTAAACAAAGATGAGTTACCAAAACAAGGCCGTTTGACTGTCGTAGCTCTTGAAAAATTACAAGGAAAAGACGTTTCAACAGATAGTAGTAAGACTTCTCCTGCAGAAAAAACTGTAACTGAAAAGAAAATTGGAGGTTCTTCCATTTTACGAGCGCCAGCTCTACAACTCAAGCAGTCTAAAACAGATAAAGAATTGAAAAACCATGTCAATAAATGGGAAGTTCTTAGTGAGTCCGATAGCATTCCTTCCTTGACTAGCTCTCTGGGAAATGACCCTGAAGACAGTATTCCTCTTAGTTTATTGAATCTTAAAGCAGACAAAAATACCAGCCGCTTAGATAACTTAGAAAGACTAAAGAGGAAAACGAGGGCCATGTCACCATCACACGAGATTGAGGAAATATTCTCAAAGCGAAAGGTAGTCGAAAAGACCACAAAGGTTGGATTGAGACCTAAATCAAGTCTAGCTATTTTGTACCCCAGTGAAAGGAGACTTACACGGAGTTCGGATAACACAACCGAGGACAAAATTACACGAAGAGCAGAGAAGAAAGTGTCCTCAGAGACTGTTGAAAAATCAACCAAACCAGTAACCATAGTTACCAGAAGAAAATCGCGATCTTGTACCGTCAACAAAAAAGTTCAAGAAATACATTCCAGTTCTCGAGAAAGTTCCATTGATACAGTGATAAGTCGGCGTATAACATCGAAATCCCGTGAACCATCAATAGATACTCTTCATGACCACGATGAAAACGATCCCTTACCTCTAAATGAGAAAGAAATAGACTTCGAGAAGAGTATAGATGTGCTTTCGAAGAATATTATTTGTAAGAAACGAGTTGCTTCATCGCGTGATGAGAGTCCCGTTAACGGCGTTGAAGGGCGAGAGAGACCGGCAGTTTCTAAGAAGAATCCTCGATTGCGAAAGAAGTTTTTAGCTGCTGGGCTGTTCTCTGATTATTATAAAGAAGAGTATGTATATTTGTATTTTCTAATTTATTATTTATGTAAACTTAATTCATGTTATAATAATATTAATGACATTTCAGTCCAAAGCCAGAAGGGAAAGGAAAGAACTTGGTAACTCAAACAGAATTTCCACCGGGACTGTTGGCACCGCCGCCTTACTGTGAGAGGTGGGTGCGTCGGACGCCGCAGTACTTCACGCTCCCCTACGATATATGGTGGGAGCAACATTATAATCAACCAGTACCATCTTGGAACTACAAAAAGATACGTACAAGTAAGTTATTAACGTACATATGAACGTACATATTTGTATTGTATATAGTGATTCTCAGAGTTCTTGAGAAGGATAAATATGTTATTTTTTACATAAAAACGCGTTGTTACCTCTATGTATTGTATATTATAAATAGTTTCATTGTTCTGCATAAAATGAAAAAACCTACTAGAAAATTTAAAATTTACTTATTGCTTTTTTTAAATATGCATGGTGGTATGTTTATGAATGTTATAGCTTTAATTATAAGGCTTGATTAATCAATAACTATGAATTCAAAGTAATAAAGACAGTAGAGAATTTAATAAAGAAACAACTTTTAACGTATTAATAACACTCATATTCATGAAGCCAGTTAACAAACATCTTGATACACAAGATAATACGCAATGTGATTGGCTGATTTATTGACGCTACTAATATAACTGCATTGTAACAGCGATGTAACGAAGTGAGCTCGGGCATAGCAATCGGTTGATCACGAGTTTTTTATTAAGTAATTATTCGAATAAGGAAAACTTTATATGTTTAATTTGAATAGAAATAATTAAAAAAGTAAAGAATATTTTATTTAAGGTTATAGATAAAAATAAATATAACACCTGTACATTTCCATTTCTCAATTTGTCCTCGATGTAAAATATCTTATCATTTAAACGAAGAATTTAATTACAGGTGTAATTAAAATCGATCTATCGTATATAATTCATTAAATAATGTTTAAAAATCATATTTCACTACATATTTTATATACGTATCTGTCTGAACGCGATCAACTCAAAAACTACTGAACGGATTTTTATACGGTTTACACCGAAGTGGTAGGTGGAGTGAATAATGAGGAAGGTTTAAATGTATAATTCATAAAGGTTTTGTGGAATATGGCTGAAATATGACTCGAATTGTTGAGAATGTAAAAAAACATGCCGACTGGGAACTTTACGGGCGTAGAGTTATATGAAAACAATGTATCAAGGAATTACTCCTCTTACAAAAGATCTATTAAATTTTAGCAACGCTGTATGTATAACTTAGATACGTAAGTAAATCCGTAAGCTTGTTACTTGTTTACGGAGTAACGTTTCAACGATTTTTAGTGAAATTTCAAATGGATATAATAATATATATTTTATTAACTTTGTAAGAAACCTACCAGGCGAGTGTAGCGACAGCTTAAAACTAGTAGGTACTATATAATAATTGTATTATAATTCCAGATGTATATTACGATGTGAAGCCATCAGCAGAGGAGTGCGAGAGCGTGGCGTGTAACTGCGCCTCATCCTCCGGCTGTAACGAGGATTGTATCAACCGACTCGTCTTCTCAGAATGCTCACCTCAACTGTGTCCTTGCGGGTTCGTATATAAATACTATTGAGCTATTATAAGGGTTTTATAGCTACAAGGCAAAAATTGACTATTTAGTCTCGTATGTCAGCAATTTTATTTGGAGTAGTATTATATGTATAGTGTTCACCTCAGTTTTGCCGTTGCGGGTTGATCCAAGAACTCTCCGATCAATATTAGGGTTCTGGTAGCCAGAAGGTAAAAATAGACCTCTTATGATTTTGTCCCGTGTGCTTATTACACGCGACAGTATTAGTATTGCAATGCTTATGTGAATCGTTAGACAATAGTTAGTAAAATTATGAGGAATGAAAAAGTATAGGTTGCACCTACTTATGTACATGGAAATCAATGATGAAAAATATATTTGAGTATCCATAAGCGTGGATAATAGTACAGTGAAAATATATATGTATTTCGATTTAAACAAGTAAGATGATTGCTAATGTCATGGTATTTTGCCGTGGTATTTTGTCAAAATATTGAATAAATTCTAATCGAATAATGTAGCCACCAAAAAAGACCCAATACAACTTGTGCTGTGTGTACATTTAATTAGTTTACCAAATTGATAAGATCTATGTATAATTTATGTACATATCAAGTTAAAAGAAAGTTAATAAATATATTAATATTAATAATGGTAAAAATATAAACAGTGACAAATGTAAGAACCAACGCATCCAACGCCACGAATGGGCGTCCGGCCTCGAGAAGTTCATGACCGAGAACAAGGGCTGGGGCGTGAGGACCAAGCACCAGATCAAGTCGGGCGACTTCATACTCGAGTACGTGGGGGAAGTCGTCTCTGATAAGGAGTTCAAGGTGAGTAAAAATACAAAAAAACACCCTTTAAAGCATGTTGACAAGTCGACGCCTGTTACGAACGACATTGTAAGCAAACTTAGTAAATAGATAAAATAAAATAAATAAATATATTATAAAAATAAATAAACCCGACTGTATAAAATCTAACTAAAAAGATGAAAACAAGTTCACACAGGAATAGGTATATTGCGTTACCCTCCTTTGCGTCGCGCAGTCTGGTAAAAAAATAATTTCATATCATAATCATGTTTTAAAGTCCAAATTCAAAATTATTTCAATACTAAGTTACAATGTTGTTCCTTGCGTGTATAATTTAATTTTAATTTATTTATATATTTATTCCATTACACATATTTTTACTACTTTTAAAGATATGTAAATTTTGTTGTTTAATATAGAAAGATATGAACTCTTGAGTATTTATACTAATGTAAAAAATAAAATAATAGAGATTTCATCCTTAAGTATATACGAGGTTATTTGATAAGAATTTTAAGTAGGAATACCAACCAGTATTTGCATTAGATAAGCTATCTTATCTCGAACATAATTTAACTTGTAAACCCAAATGTCGCTTTTAAGTAATCAACGTTAATTGGATTCAAGGTCAAATTTTATGTATTTGTCATCGACTGATGGCCGTCCATCGCTTGGAGCATTTCGTAATGGCTAAATGCGGACTTACACGTATAATAATAACATTACTGTACATATTATAATGAAAGTTAAGTCTTTATCGTGTTTATTTTCTTTAAATTATTGAAGATATTTTCGTATAAAATTAAAATATACATTGTTTTAAATAGCTCTATAACGAACTTTTCTATCAAAAAATATCGCCAATTACTTAACTTCATATACACAACATATATTTCAATTCGCAATGAATTTATTTTTTTTAATCATTTTCTTTACGTTGTTGAAGTTTTTATTGTTTTGAATGTACTTATTATTTGAAATAGAAATCTTCCCAATTATTCACATGTAATCTATACGCGATTGTTGTGTGCAATCTCAAAGTCGAGTCTAGACTAATTAAGTTTTTTACGCTACATGCGTACGTACCATTTGGATAACAAAAAAAAAGGCAAAAAATGCTTTACTGTATGAACGTGTAATAATAATGTTTTTCACGTAACTATCTATATACCTACGTTATTATGATTATATTATAATACCACACACAACTTTTATAATATTAATAAAAACCGGTATATTTAAATATTTGTATCGCTAATTAATCTTATTTTATGAGTGATGTCATCATATTATATATGTTTAAATATAATTTTTAATCGAAAGTAATGTATGTATGTGTTGAACTATTTGAATTAATTTGCATTAATATAATTGAATATTTTATTAGTATCACTTTTATTTTTTTGTATATATATATATAAGTTATCGCATTTCTTTTAAAAGTAATATAATATAGATATAGTGTTGCTACAGTTTAATAAATCTTATCATGAGATACATTGTCAGTAAAGCTCCCAGTCGGCATAATCTTTTACGACATCTTCAACAAACAGTCATATTTCAGCCAATTTACACAAAATCTTAATAAATTATGTTTAGGTAATTATAACCTAAACCTTCCAGAATCATTCCGTCCATTGGTGAAAACTGTATGGAAATCCGTTCGATAGTTTTTGAGTTTATCGTGTTCAGACACACAGACGTGGCGGGTTACTTTACTTTATAATATGTAGTAACTGTGGTCCGTCTTGCTACATTCAAAATGACTTTTAAGTGCATATGTATATTGTATATATCTATACTAATATTATAAAGAGGCAGTTTGTTTTTTTTGTGTGTGTGTTTGTTTGATTGTTTGTTTGTTTGGTCGCGCTAATCTCAGGAACTACTAATCCGATTGGAAAAAATATTTTTCCATTAGATAGGCCGTTCATTGAGGAAGGCTATAAGCTATATATCATCCCCGGAAAATGTACGGTTCCCGGGGGATCGATTTATTTTTAGTTTAATGACTAGCGACTCACGTCTCACCCTCGCTTCGTTAGGGTTCGTCCCTAGGTACGTTTTATTTTTTCAAAGCGGAACCCTAATTTTTTTTTCTTAACTAAAATAAAAGTAGCCTAAGTTACTCCTTATAACATCAGTTATCTTCCAGTGAAAGTCCCGTAAAAATCAGTCCAGTCGTTTCAGAGATTATCCGGAACAAACAGACAGACACACAAAAATTTACAAAAATGTGTTTTTCTTATATGCACCGTATATAATTTCATATGCATTTAGTAAAACGCTATTATTTTGACATTACAAAACAGACACTTTAATTTTATTTATCTGTATAGATAAAGCACTACATAATGAATTATGATCGTCCACCAGGAGCGCATGGCGACGCGGTACGCGCGCGACACGCACCACTACTGCCTGCACCTGGACGGCGGGCTCGTCATCGACGGCCACCGCATGGGCGGCGACGGCCGCTTCGTCAACCACTCGTGCCGACCCAACTGCGAGATGCAGAAGTGGACTGCTAATGGTCAGTGTCTTGTGTTAGGAAGTTATTTGTTTTATGTTTTATTATTTGTTTTATGTTTATATAAAATACTAGCAGAACCCGCGGCTTCTCTCTCACATTACAACAATATATCTTTCTCAATATATCTCTAAAAAGGTAGGTTTTATACAAGCTTTTATCCTCTATTTTACCCCCTTATAGGATGAATTTCGAAAAATGCTAAAACACATATTATTAATTTGTACTGAAGAGTATTAATACAAAGTTTCAAGTAAATAATTCTGATCACAAATATTTTTTTGGTTTGTATCATAACGTGTTTTCCCGCGTGAATAAAATAATCTCCCGCGGTAAAAACCTATGTCACTCTCCAGCCTTTCAAGTTTCAACTATCCTCACACAAAAAATCACGGCAATCCGTCACTCTGTTCCGACGTGAAAGAAGGACAAACAAACACACTTTCACATTTATTATATTAGTATGGCTACTGTTAATATAATATGTATATGCGAAAGTTTGTATGTGTTTGTATGTTATATATTATTATATTACATTTTGCAATATTCCAATTTTTCACAAGATAAAAAGTAACATTTGTCATATATGTATATAAAATTATTAAACATAAATTATTTCTTTATATAATTACTACTAATTATTACTTATCTTTTGCTGCGTGAATAAAAAGAAAACTTAATAAATAAATTTACGTATTTATGTTTTATTGTTGCAATAAGTAATATTAAGTAAAGATTAAAAGTTTTGCCTCTAGTTTAAACATTGATTTATTTATATTTATAACCTGTTGAATAAAACTATATAACAGACCTTAATACTGGTTTATAAAGGTCTGCAATTATTAATTTATTTCAAAATTAATTACAATACTTCATAGAATATCTTAATAGAAGTTAGGCATTTTTATATAGCAAAAATTATATGAATGTAGAATTGAATCTTATGTTTAATATAAAATTATAATTTTGTCTATGGTTCATATCAACAGGTACATTCAGGATGGCATTGTTTGCGCTGCGCGATATTGACCCGGACGAAGAGCTCACATACGACTACAACTTCTCTCTATTCAATCCAGCCGTTGGTCAGGTATGGAAATGTTTAATTCATATATTTAAATCATTATTTTCTTCTTATAAGTAGTATCAAAATATAAATGTTTTTATAACCAAGCAAATTACATATATTATATAATGTTCAAGTAAATTGCTAACAATAACAAGTACATATGTGTTTGAGACGTCTATAACCTTAGTCTCTCCCGTGACCATGATTGCTGTAAAGCATTCGAAACGTCGGGAACCAAAATAATCCGAAAAAATAGTTTTATTTAAAATAACTTTTAATTTAACTGACATTTTCAAGAAATGAATAATCACGTTTGGTAAATTATTATTATATGTATAAATGGTCCTATTATATGTATAATACCTATTATATGTATGCATTAGTATAGATTATCATATTATTCATATGTATACATACAAATATATACTCATTGCAATACATTGTTTAATTCTATCCTAAATTTCAGCCATGCAAATGTGACTCGGAGGATTGTCGTGGAGTGATCGGTGGGAAATCGCAGAGGATAACCAAGCAGCCATTAAAGACCCAATCCCGGACGCCCTCTAACGCTTCCAACCAGTCCAACAGCTCCAACGGCAACCAGCCTCGTGTTGGGCGTCCGAGGAAAGCAGTCAAATGTAACAAAAAGTCAGAACAACAAAATGTCACCGCCTGCGATATAAAGAATATGACGATATTGAAGTACCAACAGCACCTAAACAAACTATGGCAGGAACCCCAGATGAAACCACTCACGGCCAAGGAGAGAGCCCTAGTCAAAGAACGGCATTGCTTCTTGTTTAGGAATTTGGAGAATGTTAGTATTGTTTGTGTGTTATACTCGTTTTTTTTCTATATATGTTTTCCTTTTTCTTTAATGATATATAATTTAGTTTTTTTGTAATGCAAATTTAAGATATAGAATTTGCAAGTGTGGAATTTTAGAGTTTGAAAATTACAAACACACTTGTGCATTTTAATATCTTTGGCGTAAATAGCTAGTCTCAGTCAGATTCGCTGTCGTGGCTGAAATTTATAAAAGAGAAGATTATAATTATAGACTTTTAATTCTAGGTGCGTCGCATTCGAGAGCGTCTTTCCCTGCCGCCATCGCCATCTTCGTCGGAAGCTGCACCCCCACCACCTGCGAACCCTCCTCCCACTCCCAACCCCCCACCAACTCCTAACACTCCCGTCATAACTAACGTGAACCCGCTAACCTTACCTGACACTATGAACCCGTCAGTCTTCCTCAATAGATTGCAAACATTACGTGCGTCAAAGGAAGAAAGTGTGAAAGAACTGACGCAGTTAGAAGATGATCCCACGCTTGATATGAAAACTCGGTTGGGCAAAATTTTGAAAGCTCTCTACAATTCCGTCGTGGCGGCTAAAGGTGAGATTTTCTTCTGACATACTAAAGTTTTGATACAAACTGACCAATATAGCTTATTTGTTTGTATTTTTTTTTGCAGATGATGAAGAAAAACAAGTCTGCTCTCTTTTAATGAAGCTCAAACCTCAACCCAAGTCAGATGTGCCGCCGTTAGATCTATCCACAATACAAAACAACATAGAGAATGATCAATATGAAAACGTGGCTCAGTTTGATAGCGATATGAACACGCTATTTTCGAGCGTGATACGGGAACACGGCAAACTTACTGCCTTGGGAGCGGCTGCTATGCAGCTTAAAAAGGTACATATTTTTTGCATTGCAAATAGTTCAATGTAATATGCTAACATCTTTACTAAAGTATTGTTAATATTTTATTAAAATAAGTACAATAATCTATACCTAACTCTTTCACATTTGTTTATAGGTTTACAATACAATGAAGTCTGACTTCGCTGAACATTTGACTAAAATACTTGGATCTCAAGACGCACTACCAACTGGTTTCGTACAAAAATCTAAACCTGGTAAGTAGAAGTCAAATTATTTGAAAAATTATAAACAAAACAGTATCGTAATCATTAAAATTTAACCTGTTTTTAATTTGTATAACTATAAGACTAAAATTCATAAACATTCCAGGCTACTTCAATTTTATAGAAATATTGTAATTTATAATATAACTTTATAAAAAAAGATAATGAAATAATATTAGTCCCGCTGAGTTTCTTTGAATTTTTTTTGATATTTTTGCTAAAATATTTTGAATTTGTTACAGAGGAGGTGATCCTGTGCATCTGCGGGCTGCACGTGGAGGAGGGGCTGATGGTGCAGTGCGGGCGCTGCGGCGTGTGGCAGCACGCGCGCTGCGTGCGCCTCGCCGACGCCAAGCGGCAGCACCACTGCCACTTCTGCAGCCCCAAACCGGTGCCACGCTTTGTTTTTTTTTGTGGAATTTATTGTATAATTATTTTCGGGTAATGGACGTGGTGGTGGAATTATATGGCCTTGGATTTAAAATTTATTTAATTTAAAATGTCAAATAGTTACCGTATTTGACATTTTAAATTAAATATTTTGATTTTTTTTCTGACTTCCGTTTCTATATTTTTGGGTATGGTTACGAGAGATGCTTTTTTTTGTTTGCGTGTCTTAATGCGTGTAATCAAAGTATTTTTTTAATTAATATTGACTTATTTTATAAGTACATAGAATAGTTAGCAAATCTGAAATATAAAAAAAAATAAAATAATAAAAAAAAATACTAAATTAGTTTAGATGTATATTAACTCATTTAGATCCATAGTCCATCGGCATTTCAAAAATATTTTTTTTATTAAGTACATTAAATAGTAAATTAGTTTTAACACAAAATTATCCAATAGGTGGATCGTGAAATCCCACTAGACGAATATACTGAAGAAGGCCACCAGTTCTACCTGTCGCTGATGCGCGGCGACCTGCAGGTGCGGCAAGGCGACACCGTGTACGTGCTGCGGGATATACCAATAGACGACAAACACCCGGATGTCAGCCAGAACGGGGATAAGAACGACTCGCCCAAGACCAAACGGCAGGATAGGAAGAAGTTGAAGATTGCCAAGGGGAAGGATAAGAGTGAGGATACTACTAGTAAGGTGAGTTGAGGGAATACAATTATAACTAATTTTGGCTTTGCATGTATGTGTGTGAATCTAATTTTGTTTATGCATTGTGATAGTGATATAGCCGATGTATTTTTGGATGGATTGGATGTGTTGAAGTGAAACTTCGAAAATACAAGCGTTACAATGAAATACACATTTTAATTTTATTAAGTTATCCGAAAAGTTCATAAAATGTCGATTTTGCTTTTATTACATCTCATATTAGTACTTTCTTAGATTTACGCGAATATTGGACATTTTAAATAAGACTATCTTTTCGGATTTCGAACATATTTATTTATATTTATTATTCTATACATTATTTCTTATTATATTATACATATCTTACATAACTTATTAAAATAACTACTCGATCTAACAGGAGGGTGAAGTGCGCAAGCACACATATCAAACTATTGGCGAGGTGCCGGTGTCCGAGCTGGACATCTTCCGCGTGGAGCGCCTGTGGAAGCACAAGGACACGCAGGAGCGCTACGTGTACGGGCACCACTACCTGCGCCCGCACGAGACCTTCCACGAACCCACTAGGAAGTAAGTATATATGTTATGATCTTTATATCCGACTAGCGACTCACCCTCGCTTCGCTCGGGTTCGTCCTTGGTAATTTATATAATTGGTGGTAGTTGATTTCCCATACAAACTTTCATCCCCATTTTCACTTCCTTAATGGATGATTTCCGGGATAAAAACTATCCTATGTCCTTCTCAGGGTCTAAAACTATCTTCTTACTAAATTTCATCTAAATCGGTCCAGTAGATTTTGAGTTTAATCATTACAAACATACAAAAATACAAATCTTTCCTCTTTATAATAATAGTGTAGATGAAGTATCAATATTCTACCGACATCACCTTTAGTGGTTACGTGAAACTCGTGGGCTTTAACCAAGGCTAATACGGGCACAAAATAAAGTATTCAATGCTCAATACAATTTAATAAGGTAAATCACAATGTTATACACTTGGAACGATAATTCTAATACTTTAATTGTGCATCGGGTTCTCGACACTGATTTAATTCGAACATACAGTATCGAAACACAACTCTGCAATGATCCGTCATGGTCAATCATCATTACCAATTATCTTTAACAAATGTCAAGATGGGCCTCGACCACGTTCAAGGTGTGTCGCCTCGGCTCTCGATTTGATTTTAACTTCGATGTAACATCAAAAAGTGACTAAACAAACATAATAAATAAATGTATTATATTAAATTATAATTCATTTCTACTAAGTCCACTTCCTTCGACATACATAAGACCAGCGATTTATATGTATATTGTATATCTATCAGAATAAATAAAGCTTAATATAATTTTTTAACAAGTACTTAAGAATGTGCATATGACAATTTTGTACCTAGACGTCGTTGTTTATCTCAGAATCTGTGAAAGTTACTTCTAATATTTAGAGAAATGATACTTCGGACTTTTATCTTGAATTGCCGAATTTGAAAACACGATTGGTGAAAATTTCTCATTTTTTTTTTGAAAAATACGTTTTTATACACATATTGCTACTTGCTTATTTATCTTAGAAACAGCTCACTATTTTTGTAAGGTTTTTGTTTTGTCAGGAAGCCTAGAAGTATTTCTTTAGTTACCGAATTTCGTTTTTCGATTGGTTGTTTAATAAATTTATAGTGATTCAAAAACTGTTTTGGCGCTTAAATACGTTGATCATCTATCGTTCTATACTTCTCACTCGCGATAGAACAATATATTGTAATCCCGCTCATCCGAATCGTAGCGTTCTCATGCCTCTTAATACATCTTACGAAGATCGTTGTTGTCGATGTGTACTGGATCATAGCTAATGATATAAATAATTTTCAGGTTCTTCCACAATGAAGTGATGCGAGTTCCACTGTACGAGGCGGTTCCGATAGAGCTCGTCATGTCGCAGTGCTGGGTCATGGATTTGAATACGTTTTGCAAGGTTTGCTTTTTTTTAATAAGCATTATAATTTGACATTGAAATATAATTATAAAAATATTCCCCATATCCATCATTACTAACATTTGTGTATTTGTTGCTATTGTCAACTGATAATAAATATTAGATAGCTTCTGATTCATAAGCTCAGTAATTTGAACGTTTTTATACCCAAGTTAATTATATTTTTTATTCAGCAGAACTTGTAATATATATATATGTATGTATATTCTTTTTATAAGCTGACAAAACGGTATTTTACACCCTTAGATTATATAGCGAAACATTTAAGAGTTTTGAAGGGATTTTTTGAGATATTGTATGGCAATAGCAACCTCTGACGTGCTTGTGTCGTGATCTTATTTGCCAACTCAATTGACTAATTATTTATTGATTTCAAAGTGGCATCTTGAAATTAAATTGGTTTATTTTCACAACTACCCAATTGCCCATTTGAGTATTATTGAAGTTATACTTCTTTTGGCACGTTTGGACAAAAATATGAGAGTAAAATTTTTACGATGCGCGCGCACACCGACAGTTAAAAAGCGACATGATGAAGTTCGCTGCATTCCTTTTACAAACAAAGAGTTGTGACAAATGGGATGAAATCTTTAGCTATTTTTGTTTTGTTACGCCAAAGAAGTATAACTTCTTATGTGCGTACATAAGTACGCACACGCGTTTTTTTGAATTTAATCATTAATTATTATGATATTTGTCACACCAGGGTCGTCCGGTGGGCGCGTCCGAGGAACACGTGTACATCTGCGAGCTGCGTGTGGACCGTTCGGCGCGGCTGTTCACGCGCGTGTCGCGGCCCAAGTACCCGCTCTGCACTAAGCCCTACGCGTTCGACCACTTCCCTACAAGATTGAAACTCACACGGACTTACGCTGTGAGTGGCTTTATATATGTTTACTATTGTCACAGATCGCATAATACTATACTAGTACAGATACCTCATCGCATACAAAAAAATTGGACAGCGCTAATTCGCGCTATTTTTGTTTGCTTGAATATATATAGTTAAACGGTTTTATTTTATAAATATGTGCAAACTAACGTATGATAAATATTGTAAAATTCATCCTGCTTTCGAATAAAAAAAAACGGCGATTTTAACAATTATTAACCGTGATAAACAATAATTTAATAAAAAGTGAAAGCCATCTGTGAACAATATAACAAATACACTACAAACTCATCATTGGAGTGCTAATAAAAAGCAATACACCTTTTTGGGGTTTTTTTTCTCTTTTGTTAATTTAACACAACCTTAATAACAAATCGATTCATGTAACGTCATCTATTGACATTTATTTGACTAATTTTTCTTTGTTCGGGATTAGACCTCCTGCTATTGTTAATGCGAAACATTGTATGTATGTGTGTTTTTTTATTGCGTCTTCACGCTGGAATGGCTGGAGATTTGAATAAAATTTACTACATATACTATGACCTCGTTTATAAATACATATATTTGTCTTATTAAGAAAAACTAACTTATTAACGTAGTTACAAGCCAAAATAATGTTAACAATAAATATTATGCTTGTAATATATAATTCGAAACTGAAATTAATATTTGAGTGTCTTTTTTTTTATTTCAGCCTCATGAAGTGTCACCAGAATATTTGAAGGGCAGAGCGGCTAAAACAGCTGCGCCAACAGACAAAGCTAAAACTAATCAAGACGCTAAGAAGAAAGCTACGTCTAATAATACGAACGCCACCATATCAAATGCTGTTCCTAAGGTAATTAATTAATTAAGACAACTTTGGTTGTTACTTGTAAAAAATCACTATAAAAATTCAAACAGACGTGATCGCCGTTGTTCTTAACAAAAAACCCGCACGGATTGTCTACAAATACTAATTTTCATGGCAAACGGTTTTTTTGCGGTTGCCTCGTACAATTGTCTTGTTTAGGTGCCATCGTTAGACGACTGTACGGATTAGTAGGCTGACAAAATAAAAATAATGTCTCATAACAAAATAAATGGTATCCAGACGCTGTCACCGGCGGCGCGTCGCGAGCAACAGAAGGAGCGTGTGAACAACATCGCCCGGCGACTACTCTCGCGCGGCGGGCAGCGCGGCGCGCTGGACGCCTCCTACCTGCTGGCGCCGCGGGCGCCCGCGCGCGCCCCGCGCCCCGCGCCGCCCCCGCGCGCGCCCTTCCTGACCTCCGCGCGCCTGCTCCACATGCCCCTCCTGAGTCATGCTCCCCTGCTACATGTGAACGTGCTGTTACGAGGTGTAATTTAAAAATCTTTAAAAAATATATATATTTATCTTACACCAAATTACACTGTTATAATAGTCAATAATAAAAATTACTTCACTGTATTTAAACTGTATTACAAAACTGTATTATAATAACCGCAGCTCAACTAAGACTGACTTATCTATGGACTTCTATGGCTATTTAACCTAACTGTAACTCTGTGTGAGGTACAGGGGAGTGAGGGGAATTATGATGGGGTAGACACTTTCATATACTAGATCAATATATAACAGTTAAGGAGAACATTCTCCTTAACAGTTTTTCTCCCCTGTTACACATAAACGTGCACACGCACGTTCTCCTTAACAGTTTTGCTTCCCTGTTGCACGTGAACGTGCACACGCACGTTCTCCTAAACAGTTTTGCTCCCCTGGTATACGTAAACCCGTACACGCACGTTCTCTCTAAACAGTTTTGCTCCCCTGGTACACGTGAATATGCACACGCATGTTCTCCTCTACAGTTTTGCACCCCCTTGCATTTAAACTATGAACGTGCCCAGGCATGTTTAAGTTTTAAACCATCAATTGGGTAGTTGACACCATTTGTCTATTTACATACTTTGACAATTGTCACCTGTAACCTTTTTTTTGTAACCTCAATTGATTATTTTTTTTGTTGGTTTTTCAAAGCAAAAGAAAATTCGGTTTTATAGTTTGTTGAAAACTTTTGGTTTTCAGAGTAAAAATAAAGTCTTTTTTAGTCTTGTTGGTTAATGGTGTCAACCAACAACCCAATCAAATAAGAATCGCTTATCAGAAATTTCTTCCGTAATGTTAACAATCTCAAAAAAATCTATTAGTAAATAGTACATAACTATTATAGCGAGGGTCATGCAGTTTATAGGGTGAGATGAATGTCACAACTAAATACAAATAGTACAGTTGATGAGTGTATTCAGTGTGGCATTGGTGGTGGTGTGTTGATAATTATTATTGTGATGTGTCGCGTGTTTACTTTGATTTGTATGAAGGCAATGTGAACACAGAACGGCTGTAAATACTACAGTGTGCTTTTGTTAGACTGATGGAGTATCTCTGTATAATACTTGAAAAGCTGAGAAGTAATTTCGTCTTCAATTATATTATATAAATATAGTATTGCATATAATGCACAATAAACATGTAATTAACTCTAGCTAAAGTAATTTATCATTTAATTAAATAAGTCTTCGTATATTATAAATGATTATTAAATATACTTTTTGATTTAGTATTATAATATTATAAAAATGTATGTCAGGGTACTGGAATAGATAGGAATTTTGGTGAAGGCTTAGGATAGACGTTAACGAACGGACATACCCTTATATGGAATATTGTAAAAAGTATAATAATAAATTGTATTCGCGCTATTTATCAATATCTAACTGACATATTGAATATTGTTATGATTCCAATGCATCATATCTTTGTCGAAACAAGTATATTTATTTATCTATGTATAAGATGATCGGTTATTGCCTACGATGTCGTTGCGGCTGTAAAATATTTGTGACATTCCCGGGCTCATGAAGGTTTGCGACAATAATGGAGGGTCGGCTAAATGCTGCATTTGACTTGAAGTTACATGAAATCGAATCTCGTAGCTTTTGTACATATTCCTGTCATAAATAATATTTTTGTAATATAGTTAAGACCCTTACGTATTTACGTTTCGTAAGTTTATTTTTAGTTTTAAGTTAACTCTAATAATTTATTTTCGGCCGTTCATAATTTTTTTTTACTTGTAATGAAATTACAATTGTAATCTCATTTTGTAGGTATTTAGCGTTTTTCTACTGTTTTGTGTGCTTACGCGTTTAGTTATAGATATATTTTTATATAGGCTAATACTGTTATTCTATAGTGATGATATAAATTTAAATTTAGTATAAAGAAATTACTATTTAACGACCACTGGTGCGAACTGATGTTGAGCGTTGAAAGTTTTTATAGCGGTTAGATACAGTCAAGTTGTTTGGAGGTTGTTAAAGTAATATTAGTTATAATTATTATTTTTATCTTTGAATAGTCTATGGTAAGTTCTATGATTATTTTTGTCTCTGGTCATTCATATTTACAGTATAAGCAGACGTGTGCTAAAATCTCTCTATTTTTTTTGACGTGTTTAGTTTAAGTTGTACATTTGAGGTATGGTTGTTTAATTTTATATGAAAAATGATAATATATTGTTTAATACTTGTAATTAAGCTGTGCTGTTTGCAAGTTTCGATTCGCCTTGATGATGTGATTTGCAGAACAAATTGTTTTTGTTTCTAATTTATTTGTAAAGTACAGTTAGATTTTGATGTTTCTTGATTATTTTCGTAAGGTTTCCATTTCGTTTGGACAAATTTTGAATATTTTGTCTATACAAACGAAAAAAAATATTTTTCCAACTTAAAGAAAAATGATGAACTTGAGCACAATATATTTTATTTTATTCCTTGGTATTATTATACTTCTAAGGGTTTTTGACTTGCTTTTTAAAACAAACAAACTGACAAACGTGGGGCAGAGTACATTAAGATTGATCCCAAAATGTAGTACAAAATTCCACCGAAATGTCGAAATTTAATTTTTATTCGTCTGTTTGTGTGAAAAATGTTAGCTAAATTATGGTATAATTACCAACAACATATATCTATCATATAAAATATACATTTCAAAGTAAATAGTAGATCCGTTTAGAAAATCATAGTTAATATTGTTGATTGAAATATATATTACATAATATGAGAATTTTTAAGTATACTATGTTCACACCTTTTGCTTGCACAAATGCACTTACGGACTAGGTAGTGATTTGACACAAACATTACACATCTCATTATATGTGATTATTAATTAATTAATTATCCATACAACAAAAATAACAATCTGCTATTTAGATATTTTTAAATATTACAATATTATTTAATGATCACATATAATTCTAAGTAAATATTTCGAAATAATATAAAATAGTTTTGTTATAATATATCACAATTCCATTTATGTACTTAATTAGTGAAGAAATAGCAATAGATTAACATAATAGTTGTAGAATTAAGTAATTCTCTTGCTTTCCGTGTGTCTGTCTACAAATGTTGTTAATGTGTAGCATCTGATACTAATTCACATTTTTGGGATCAAAATTATATCATTGTTTAAAAATTGGCAAATAAATTTACTGTTCAGTCTTGTCCACTTGAATTTTTTTTTTAATTTAAACTAGTAAGTCTATCTCGTAATTACAATATATATATATGTATATTATAAATTGTAAAAGTAATTTTAACAGGTATGTCTAAAGAAATGACTTTTTATAAAACATGTAATCGAATATTTTTCTTTGGCATATTTTTATATTTTTTATGCTGTAAATAATTTTGAATCTTTTTCATTGATATTATATGAATGAACTACAGTTCTTTTTTTTTGTTATATGATCGATAATATTGTTTTTTTTTATAGGCAATATTAAAAGTGGTCTCTGACAATCGCACCAAATATGAAATTTCTCGAATTTTTCAATAACATGTTTAAATTTTTTACATGAACATGTCACATTATTAGAGTCTTTTACTATTTCTTTTATATTTTTTTATTTATTTGTACAGTTTATTCATTCATAAATATTTCTGATTAATTGAATCTAAATGAGATTTGACATATTATTCAAGTGGGTGGAGACTGATGCATTATGTAGTCCATCTGTTATGATAACTTTATTATATTGAGCAGCTTTACTATTTATGTAGGATTTTGTTTTAAGATGCCATTTGTTGTAACTCATGTTTTAATATTAAATTAAAATGGAATCAAATGATTTTTTATTTAAAACCCCCCACCAGCATAATATTGTAGTTATTTAACAAAATTAATTCAATAATTTAATAAAAATAAATTAAATGTTTATTTGATATACTTTCTTAGATTTACGCGAATGTTTGACATTTTTAAATAAAACTATCTTTTCGGATTATTTTTACTATTAATTCTTAAGTACAAATGTATTTTATTTATTAATTCTTAAGTATAAATGTACAAGACTTATATTGCAGACTTAATGCTATTAGCATGGGCATTCCTTTGCACTTTTCCTAACTTAAAACTTTTTATATTAAGACAAATAGAGAAATAATGTATGGTAGATATAATTTGCGAAAAACGCTTACTCATAGCTATTAATTCTTGACAAGTCTCGTATTCCTTTAATCTCGGTCGCGGTCTTTGAAGGTAGTTACAACGGCCTCGCAGTCGCGCTAAAGAGGGGCTTCTTGCGAGGCCCCAAACAAACACGCTTTTAAATTTGTGACATTGGTTTCAAGCGTAAAAGTGATCAAATTAATTAGTCATATGTGGTAAAGTCTGGGGGCATCACATTTAAAGGGATCTCGCGAGGCCCCTTTAAGTGCGAGGCCGTGGGCGAGGGCCCATTTCGCGTATGCCAACCTACGCCATTGTTTATAATACATGTTGATGTGTTGGTAGTTGTCAGAAAAAATTGCGACATTATTTTTGAAATTGAAGTTATATTGACCTTAAGGAGCAATTTACGATTCGCTCTGGACCCTGAAAACAGCGGCCCCGCCACTCTAGGTCACGCAATGAAAAGATTACCTAACCGACCCCTCGCAATAGAAGCCGCTAAAACTTTCCTAAAAGCGAGATAGATCATTTTTCTTATTTGAAAACATCCTTTTTCATTATAAAATATTTAAAGATAATCATGTAACATTAAATAATTGACGACACGTTAGGCTCAGGGTGTAGTGTGTGACTATACTTGCTGTGCCAGCGGTCGCGGGTTCGAGTCCCGCTGGGGGCATTCATTGTGTGATGTGCACGAATGTTTGTACTCCAGTCATGGGTGTTTGTTTATATTTATAATATGTATGTATTTAAAGTTTATATATGTGTAGTGTATCAACTATCTGGTATCCATAACACAAGCCTCGTAGCTTAGCATGGAACTAGATGGTGCTGTGTGTTAATGTCCCAACATATTTATT